CTGCTCTGCAGGCACGGCACGGCCACGCCTTCTGCAACTCTGAGAGCACGCGTGTTTGGGGCAACAGGGTAACCCCATCTGGCCGTCCTACGCCACGACCAGCTCGAGATTTCCGCCGGCGATAGCTGCCGCCAGCGGCACTGCACGTGCTGAGCTGTCACCGCGTGACTCCGCGCCATCATGGGACCGGCCATCGCGTTATGCAATCTGTCTCCGGCTTCGGGTCACCGCATAGTGCACAGCCGGTCGGCATACTGAATCATGTGACGTCGAGTCGTACAAGGGTGACACCAGGTATCTCCGCAAGGTCACGGGCTCCAGGCACCGCTACCCGACCGCAATGTATTCGGTCGTAAAATCGGCCAGCACTGTACCGAGGCAGCCTTAATCTCCAGTTCAAAGTATGTCATTCAACAATTGGTGGTGGCAACTGTGACCAAGGGCGATATGGTATCAGGTGGAATAGCGCTGCGGTTCGTTAACCAAACTCAGAAAAAATGCCTGGAATGTCGAGATATTGCTGCTCACCAGCAGATGCTCGCGATGTGTGAAGAGTTTGAGGCGTGAACTAATTCGGCCTTGCAAGAACTCTTGCTTTATCTTTTTGAGTGGTGGAAAGCTCTGATAAAAATACTTTCGATCCCAAGTTATGGCGTACTCGAATGTTCAACAAATCTTGATTCTGATTATTTATTTCAGCTGCAACGATACTGACTAGAATGCCTTCACAATCCATGAAGACATAATGTCGCTACCTTCATATCACCCTCAAAGCAGGGCATCGCCTCATGTTTTTATCACCTCCACTTCACTTGACACACGGCAAAAGTTACAAATCACGTCCTCTTCACCTGACACACGGTAAAAGGTGCGAATTAAATTATAACAGAGTTCTTACCAATCTATAACCCAATAAATGCTACTAGGCGTTATTGAAACACCTTCGCAGTTCGCGGTTCATTCATTACTTCAAAGATGTTATTATTTTATAAGTAAGAGTATCATTTTTATGTCCTCTCTCCCATCAGGACCTATGCTCATGCCAAAACGATTTAAAGGGCAGACTACTATTTAAAATAATTTGATCCAGCATTTGAGTTAAGTATGAGCTGGCCCTCTGCGCCTATAACTCAGAAATAACTTTATGGCTAGCTTTTTGCTTCATTTGCTCTGCTCATAATTTTATTGTTAATCATCATCGATACGGCAGTAGATACGAATCAAGATCAGTCAGATTTCCCGTTAAGATATAAGTAGAAAATGTTACTAGGTGTCATTAATCCGTCTTGTAGTCCAAACTGTCCGTTTCCGGACAAAATAGAAAAAAGTAATGTCTTGTTAGCTTGGACTCAAAATGTGCAGCAAGACGCACTCGTAGCTTGAACAGCAGCAGTTTGTATGGCTGCAGCAGTTTGTAGAGCTGCAGCAGTTTGTAGGGCTGCAGCAGTTTGTAGGGCTGCAGCAGTTTGTAGGGCTAACGAAAGCGGCCGCTCGGCAGCGCAGTTGTGGTTACAAGACGCATGTGTTTCTTACGATCTACCGAGATGAACTAGACAGGTGGCCAGATAATCCAAATTCACAAAGTGTCCACGTCAGTTAAGGCAAGGAGGCCCCTACCATTCAAATCACATTTTTGCGAAGAATTGGGTACTGCGAACGCATATCACAACGGCATTGTGTTGAACAAGCGTTCTTAAATCCTGTGCGAAATATATTTAGTGTTCGCCACTTCATTTGCGGTAGCCTGGTAACACCAATATTTGAATCACCTTGGCGAGATCTAGCTCAAAATGACGAGTCTCCTGCCAGAATCAGCTTGGCGAGAGACATATCACCAATTTGGCAAGCTGGCGGAGGTTCTGAGCAACGTACGTTAAGGGACAGGAAATCTTCTTTCATCTCCTATACCAGATGCTAATGCACCCCTCGGTTACAATTCGCCCAGAAATGAAGATCTGGTGCGCAAGGCGAAGTTGACAGCCATTATTCATCTTCGTTGGTCCGTGATGCATGGACATGTTCGAATGGCAAAAATAATTGGAAAAACAGTGAACGCGTCGGTAATACTTTGTCAGATTGTGTTTTAAGTGTCATTTCAAAACCAAGAGCAGAACTGATTAAAGCTCATATTTACAGGTAAGGTTATATCATTGCCACTGTCACGTGACGCTTCTGTCTTCCGAGCTGACAGAAGTGGAAAGGCATTACCGTATGCGGAAGAAACATTACCATATGGTGGCAAATGGAGAGGGAACGGATATTCCCTGGTTTATATATATATATATATATATATATATATATATATATATATTAAGCTCAACTCAGATATACATTTTCTTTTATCAAGAGTTGGTGGAATATTGTCTGCTTCATTGTTGGCATATCGAAGTTTTGCTGCTCACCAAGAGAAAGGCACGAAATGCGGCACAAAACGCAAAAAGTCAGACGCACGAAAGGGATTAGTGAAGTCCTACTTCCACTCCACCAAAATAAGATCATTTTGATCCATTTCGGTGTTACTGTGCTAAAAGGTACTCGATTTAGTCAACGTATGCAATGTTATTAACGGGTGCAGGCTGTGCGATAGGTGCATCTTGAGCCTGTTACCGTGTGGGCGCCAAAATAATTATGTTTATTAAATCTACGCCTGAATCCATCTCTGTCCAGACATGTGTGTTGTGTCTGTGCCTAAATCATCGAGGCTGTTTGTGCGGGCAACTTTGCTACGAAGCTGCATTGCGACAAAATCGGCTATGAAGCTGTATCCTCGGCTAAATCAGCAACGAAGCTATCTACGACTGTGGCTAAATCAACAGCGATGCTATATCTACCTTCATCTCAATCAGCTTCTTGGTTGTGAGCAATGCAGTTTCTCATCCCATCTGCAGTAACAAAGTATCTCTCAGTCATGCAATTGAAATTGTTGGGTTTGAAAGTGGAATTTCAACGAGCATCACAATCACATATAAAGTTTGTATTTGCAGCTTATGACATGATCGCTCCGTTTCACCTTTCATCGCTGAATAATATATAGCTATGGATATTTCTGTAACTTTTGTTTTGAAGGTAAAGTGACGCTTGAACACTAAGCAGGAAAAATAATGAACACGTGTTTGGTTCCGGCCATCCTGTGCCGGCTTTGAGAAGGCATGCAAACAGCACTTGCAGGGACGCAAGCAGGCTTTTGATCAAACCTTGGTGACTTTAGGAGAAGTGGTTTTAAGACAGCTCACAGGAGTTTGACTACGAAAGTAAAAGGAGAAATACAGGCCTTGAGCAAGTAGTGTTTCGGCATTATGACTTCTTACGATGATAACCGCCGACGTTAAGTATGCTGGAAAGCAAAGGTAAGACGAAGGTATCAAGAAAACTTTATGACATAAAAATGTTTGACGTTCCGGATTGTGTTCATAGGTCAGCCATGACCACTGAAGAAGTGAAATGGAAGTTCTACCTTGAACCGTCGAGCACTTTCACGACACATCCTAATGACTGCATGACATCGTCTTTTAACAACCAGCTCCCGGCACGATGAAGATCGGTTATGTTCAACGTGGGAACTCAAATTGTTAGCGACTTAACACAGAGAGAGGCTGATGATTACTACTTGTGTAAGTTGTTAAGTGCATTTGCGAGGGACGGGCCTTAAGCAACTTGTGGTTTGGCATTATGATTTCTTATGATGATAACCGCCCACATTTAATGCACCGAGAGGTTACATTTACACAGCCTGGTCGTAGGGCTTTCATTTTTCATGGTTATTCTACGAGAAATACGGTTAGCGTTGCTGTTTGTATGATGCCTTCTTTTGTCCAAGGTACTCAACTCGCGAACGAATCGTAAACTAATCGATGACCATCGATTAATCAGTTCCAGTGCGCTGTTATGCTAAGTAAGACGCTACATGTTTAGAGGTGCTTAATGGGAGTGTTCCTCATTTGTATTGCGTTTTGAACTGGAACAGCTATATTGAAGTCCTTTTGATACGGTATACGGTCATGACCTTTTTAAGACATGGAACCCTGTGGATCCTAAGCTAGAAGGCAGAAAAGATTTGAGAGAGTTAATGTGAATGAGTCTTTGAAGGGCACCTTAACACTCATGACGGCATGACAACATCATTTAAATCCTGCCATTCCATAACCCACGTGACAGTCAAGGCCTAGAAAAATAGAATTATCGATTCGTTCGTATGTGACGTTCGTGAGCACGATTTCCACATAAAACAGCAGTCAAAGGGCTCTCAGTCATTGTTGTGCAAGGAACGACGACGCAATCAGGCAATGACGTACTGGGGAGCATATTTACTAAAAAAAAGAATTGTTTTGTCCAGAGCAGTCTTTTACACTTAAAAAGTATACCGGCAGTTACAAGTGAGCTTGTTTCATCATATCTCATGCTTTTTCAATATCTTGAAATGTGAAGCATTCCCTTTCATCCATGAGGTGCAGAAGTGGCTTGATCACATATATACCTCTACGCATAAGCTCACAGCGTTCGGCATGAGACAAGTCGCCCCCGTCGTTTACAGCAGTTTTCACCGCATGTTGTCAAGAGTGAGACGCGCTGCATAGCCTGGTAACCAACTGCATTTCTTTGACAGCTGCTCAACCAGATCTGGACAAGCGACAAGACGTAGCAATTTGTCCGCCGCTTCATGAATTATTAGGTTGACCGCTATCTTCGCTTCGACGTCCGGCCTTAAGCCCACGATATCAATCACCGTGGACACGCGGTAGCCAGCGCTCATGTGCCGCATGCCCCAGCTCACCTTTCTTCTCCGCCGCGTATTTCCTTGAGCCGCGGCTCTCAGAACTCCGGCCGTGAACGCTCCGGTTCCGGCGGTCCCCTGCGGCCGCCGGGACCGGACCGGGACCAGACAGCGCGTCGGCGCGGCCCGGTCCTGCCCCTGTCACATGACCGGCGGGGAGGTGCCGGCGGCGGCAGAGGGTGCCAAGAGGCGGCGCCCGCGCTCCGCCGCCAGTCAGCGCCAGCCAGCCAGCGAGGAGGGACGCGCCCGAGCGCCCGCCACTGCAGCCTCCAGCTCATCTCCCGCTCTCCGACGCCCAGGTACGGTGACGCCCGGTGCGCGGGCCAGCTCGGCTCGCCGGTCGGCGCACGGTGCCGGCGCCGTGCGCCGACACCTCAAACAGCGTCAGGTCGCGCTGCCGGGGGTGGTGGGTCGGGTGGCGGTGCCTCTTACGGCCATAGGGTGATGGGCTGCGCGGTATGGGTGACTACCATCATGTCGTCAGCGGCGGTATTGTAGGCTGTCGGAGGCAGCGCGCCCAGAAGAACTTACGCACCCGACTACCGCAAGAGAGGCTGTCTGAAAGGGACTATATGCGCGTTATTCGCGTAGGGCGGAAGCTTGCGCGCAGTTATGTAAGGCTCTCAAATTGTAGACGCGCGCTTGTCGTGCTGCGCGACATGCACGTATCTGAGTCGCAATTTGGAAACCACTCAAGAATGTCGTGCTGATATTGGCACGGCCTGACACGCAGATTTGGATCCTTCCAGCTTCAGAGCGCTAGTCAGAAATATCCAAACGCACCAAAGGCGAGAGCCTATTACGTCTCGGCACCATTTGTGTGGGTCGTTCAAACGAAGGAAATGAACGCATCCCCCTCCACGAATTGGAGACTGACAAGACTTGCGAAGAAACATATCTACTACGTGACGTTGTTCAACGTACTCCGCCACCACCACGCAATTTCATCCCTGCTGAATAATAGCCCAGCATCGATCTCACCACGCGCTAGTTGATCACGGTGCAGCCAGGAAGCCATAGGTTACACATCGCTGGCACAGTGACCCGAGGACCTTAAGGGTGAAATGGCGACCCTCGCACGCGCTCGCGAGCCCAGGTCGCTATAAACGCGGCTAGAGCATCGCCGCATCCAGGCCAGGTGGTGGCGGCTGAAACGGGGCTGCAGGCTCCCCCACGATCATGAATGGACTCTGAGGGATCCAGACGGCGCTGGACGACCCACCCACGACAGTGTTTCCGGGCCCGGTACCACTTAGGAACTTAGTGCCTCTGGCATTGCAGGTGTTGTAGCTTGGGCGTCGCTGTGTGCGGCTGGGACCCTCGTGGAATAAGGCCTGCATTGTGCAAATATTTGGCGAAAACTATGCCTATGGGCACGTTGAGGACTCGAGAGACGTAGAACCTCCCAGAAATGCCACAGGATATTGCGGGTTATGCTTGTGTCTGTACTTTGTCTATGCACTTGCAATGATGTAACTACATATTTCACTTGCAAGATCACTTGCAATTATAAACGGTAAAATGATTTATTATACGTAGGTTTGAAACTGTTCTGTAATTCGGACCAACTCTTGAGGAATGGCAACCAGACGGGTGAAAAATATGCATTGGGCATGGATAGCGGATGCATCCGGTCAAACCCAGAGGGCGGTGGCCGGATTGGGAAAAGGAAGTCTTCTCCGTAAAAGTATCTAGCGTGCAGAGTTGCCCAGCAAATCTGACATATTGCAGTGGGATGCACCCAACCGAACATGGCCTGCAGTTGGCATTATGTAGCAGCTTGTCGACTTGCCTCAAAAGCAATTTTTCCGTCTTGTAACATGCATGTGCCATGCTGCCAAGAACTCACGGCCTGAGAATGGGTTGTCTGTGTTAGATGTCATATCCCATATTTCTCTTTGACTAAGCCGTATTCGGTTTGTACTTGTGCGGGCTTCCATGTTCGTGGTTTAACGACATGTTTTCGTGCAACTGTCCTCCCCCAACCACCGGACTGCATTGGTGGAGCGGTCCCTCACGGCTGGCAATCTCAGCCCTCGTCTTATCCGCTGCCTGCGACATGGTGGATTAGGTTCCAAGGGAGCTCACGTTTCACCCTATTGACTAGATCGTGGCAGTAAATTGTCCAGCTCGGCTGGAAATCAGGTCAGATCACCAGTAACCCAATTAGTGTTAACCGGTAGCACCTTTTAATTGCCAAGGAATGGTCGCCTAGCATAGAAGTTCGCATCGGAACTCGCCACCATCATCGTGCGCAGGTCGTCCTCCGACACGAGCTTTTGAAGCCTCCGGACGACAGGGGTTGTGAGGCCCCGTGCCCAGGCCACGTGTCAACAGGATTCAAGGCCGTAACTCTTCAAGGATGGACGTTTTGTGTTACGGATAAGTCGTGTCAGCGACCATAAGTCGAGTCGGCGAGAGACAGGAACATGACGAGCAATGATTGTCTTCAAGGATAGCCCGGGCTCAGCTTAAATCCAAGTTTCATAACCGTCTTTAAGCATCACGAAGTAGTAAGACTATTGCGGGGGATAGCTTTAAAAATAGGCCTCATAGATATCAAGTGATTTGGCCCGGGAAGCAATCTAGCCTTCTTTGTTCGAGATGTGGTTTTGCATTCGTATGGTATGGAATGCGTAAGTTTTCTTCGGTCGTTTCCGATGCGTGAGAGACAGGCGATTTCATTTGCAGCGCCAGACCTTACTCTCCGCATTGATTGATTGCAACGAACTTGAAGCGACTATTCGTCCAGCTTCCATTGCCTGCGTGAGGGTTTCCTAAAAACACCAAGCATAGCGAATATAATTTCTAATTGTGCGAAATAAACCACAACGGCCAAAAGCTCACCGAATGAATACTCCAAATAAACACCGACCGATATCAAAATAAGTGAGCTAATATTAAGCATATGTCTTCACGCTTGTGCGGGGAACTTCACTCCGCGTGATATTCTATAAAATTCTGAACGCTTCTCGAAGGAAGTAAACAGCAAAAAAGCTTTGAAAGAGATCTGCTTTTAAAACACGCATACATGCTCTTTTTCTGGACCTTCTTTTTGCATGCTTCCTTCTAAAAAAAGGCCGTAATTTTGTTGGATATTGCGCCAAGTGGAAATGACGAACCGAATGGTCAGTGGTCCGCGCCAGCCGCCTTCTCCGATGCCCCTGGTGAGTTCCAGCCCCATCTCTGGCGACGGTGCGCCCAAGGTCTTGAAATGTGACCCTTTTGGGCCGGTTAGTCGCCTCTGCTCCAGTGAGACGTTGGTGCTCTGTCGGCCAATCGTTGACTAAATTGGAGTCCCCCTCTCTCTCTCTCTCTTTCTCTCTCTTTCCCATGGTGCCTCCAGTTTATCTTTCCATGCTCTTATTTCTCTCATCTCCGTCTAGTCTGGCCGCCAGCGTCTGGTGTGAACTGAAGAGTACACGTTATTTGTCCCTCCCGGCCCTCGATGTTGTCTTGTGGGACGACACGATCATAGCGGATGGATTCTTATGCTGGAGCCGACACGTTCACTCGGCCGGGGGCACTAGGCACAGACATCGAATACATTGGCATTCATTATGACTGGTGAGAGTGGTACTGCGCCTTTTCCTGCACGCCAGGTGGGGTTGCTGTCCGTGATTTCTCCGCTTCAACGCTTCCATAGCTTGTTTTGTGTCCGTGATGAGTACACCAAGTGAGTGAGCCTCGTTCCGACCCGGGGCCATCGAGGTCTTGTCCCGACCCAGGGTCAAGTCGTCCTTCTGGCACACGAGCCTCGCCACCGTCACCTGTCCGTCACGGTTTACTGGAATCGGTCGCAACGTACAGTATACATCGGGCAAGCCATTCCGCAGCCGCGCGCGTGATTGAAAGCATGTATTTTATTTGAACTGAAATATCTGGAGTGCTCAGGCATGGCCAATAGCTCTTAAAAACACTATAGGTCTGTATGTTTACTGTATGGGATACCAGCGCTGGATAAGTGTGGCGCATACGGGCGTGTTTAATGATGAAGTCATCCAGCTGTCTTCATATGGCCGGATTTCAGGTGGTGCTGGATTTACAAAGGCATAATGAGTCATAATCTCATATATCGCGCATAGCGTCACCACGCCACAATTTCACAAGAAATGAAAATATGCCAGGCATCCTGACTTACATGCCAGAATCCATGCCATTCGCCTGAGATGCCTTGATTTGACTTGTGACGTCACCAATGACCTTCGGGTCAATAAATTGACACCTGCTGGAATCGAGAGGTCCCAGGTTTTTTTCCCCCGCTCAATTTAGGATGTTGGACTCATCAATTCCGGAAATACGCAGGTTCGCTATTTCCTGGAATATCCCGTGACGCTTTTATATATGATGGCGTTATTTCCATCTCCAGCTCCCCAAAAATGACATGGGACATACGTTCGCTGTTGTCGGGTCAAAGTATGCATATGTTACAAGTTGCTGTTGATTTTCCAAACTCTAGTATATATATATATATATATATATATATATATATATATATATATATATATATATATATATATATATTGCATATATATGCGTTATACACTCGTTTTTAAAGCCACGTGAATGTGCTGAATATCATCATGCCTTCATCCTGGATGTACGGTACACTGCAAAATATGTTCTTTTACAAGCCCAAGAGGCGTCACCAGGCGATACTAATGCTAACATCTCGTTAATATGAATATCACAGCACTACTGCAGGCCAAATAGTTGAACAGCATGTTTGAAATATCAAAGCCTGTCTTGCAGCCTGATGCGAACTGGAATGTGTCCTTAAGCCAGCTCCACCCCGAGTTTACGAGCTAACTAAAATCCTAAAAAACCTTCTTTTAATTAAGTAGTCTGTTGCTGCGCCAGTGTGCTCTGCAGACATGGGTCGCCGCCATGGAACTGTTAAGTCGTCCGGACATGGTTTTGTTTATCAAGGAAATATTGCTGTACATCATCCAGCTAAACCACCTATCTTGTTGCAATTGCACCGCAAACAAAAAAGCTGAGGTGTGCCTGCACTGTGACGCTCCCCTCCCCTCAAATCCCGCATCTGCGGCCAATCGAGCATCGAAATGAGCATAGTTGCATCGCAGCATTACCAGGCTGAATGCAAGATCGTTAGCAAGGGCATTTTTAACTCCAGCACAGCATGCCACAGAAGAATGCAGTGTTTATGTGTAGCCGCCATTGATGATCCCCACCACTCCCTGCATGTGGTCGTCGACACTGCGCTGGTCGGCAGCGCTGCGGCCGCCGCAGAATGCGTCAGTAGATCCCACCCAGTCTTTACCCGGACTCATGACGG